ACCAAAGTGTCAAACATGAGAATGTCCACACAGGAGAATGTCCAGTCAGGACTTCCTATGTAACTCCAAGACACAAGCACACCACAGAGCATTTTGGTGGAAACCGTTTTTGCTCTGCAGGGAGATGACAGAGCAGTGAGTCATGCTGTTCAATGGATGTTTGTATACACCGGTTTGTATACAAAAATTGTGAGCAAGCTTTTATTTGGGATTAGATTTCCTTTCTATCATCACCCCAGTTTGAAAAAAAAAAAAAAAAAAACCTCTGTTGGCATGGAAAGCTTTAACAACAAACTGACAACACTCCCTACGTCCAGTGAGCATTGCACAACAAAAGACGGTTCAAAATGTCCAAAAACTTCATACTGCAACGCTTTTAGCGTCTGCGACTGACTGGCTGATAGATACCTGTCCTTGTGTAGGTGTAACAACGCACGCAGAGAGAGAGAGGGAAAAAAAAAACAAAGCAAACGGGGAGTGTCAAAGTTTATGACAGCCTGGCTGATTTGTTGTGCGTTAGTCAACAAATCAGCGGGGGCTGCCAGAGCTGTGCCAATTGTTCAGGTTTACCATAACAAATCCTCAGATTCCTGCTTGAAATGAGTCAGCTGGGAGCACTAAAGCAAAATGCCGAGTCATCAGGGCTGTTTTAAGACTTCATGACGTATGATTGGCCTCATGAAGTAAAAGATCAAAGGTAACTGTTAGAGGTGCGCTTGTCTGAAACGTGGTGGCCGATTTCCAGTCGCCTATTTTGCAAAACTTTTGGCATCAGGTAAAAACCAGCTAGGATTTTTCCTTAGGATCTGTAAGTAATGCAAAAATGTCATCACTGTGGAATAAATAAAATAAAATGATCTTAACCACAATATTTTATGTTACAATTAAAAAATACTTTATTGATCCAAAAGTGGCATTAAATTATCAATTATTTCTGAAAATCCGCTCAAAGTTGCAGCACTCTCACTCTGCGTCCCTGAAAATCCTTTATATCCACTACTAAAATGTCAAAGTGAGGCATATCATAATTAGTGTTTCTTTCTCCTGGAAAACCTTTTGTTTTTAATTATCTAACTTTATAACTGAGTGGAAAAGGACAGATTTATTGCTGTATGTCAAACTGTTCAATTCATGCAGTCATGCGAAGCAGTCTTTTTCCCACAGTTGACCGTTGATTTTTTTTATGTTATTACCAGAGGTGATGTCACACTGTGTGAAAGACGGCCGACAGTGTTTCACAGCTTTTCAGAGTTGGATTTCCAACACTGAGCAATTTGGTACACCTCACCCCAGTCTCAGTTTGTCTTCCTGTCAAGCTGCTGACAAATAAACGCTACTATAAAATCTTTAAAAAGAAAAGATTTTCACTTTCCAATCGATTTGTATCAAGCATTTGACTGATCCGTTCTAGTCAGGAGTCAATTTCTTGTTAGTTTTTAAACTTTTAGCCCACTAAATATAATAGGATATCCTGAAAACATTTTTTTCTGTCAGTCCAAAGATTTTTTTTTTTTTTTTTGCCTTTCCAAGCTGTAAAAAAAAAAAAAGAATCAGCTTTATGATTTTAAA